TCTCTCTCCAGGGAGTGCACATGCCCTAAGGCAAAAAGCTCTAAAAGAAAAAAAAAATCATTATTTAATTTTATTTATTATTTTAATTTGACCATAAAGAGACATAGAGAAAGATAGGAAAAGTGAGAAAACAAGATACTAGGTCTGGGACTCAAATTGCAGTCAGCCATGTGGGAATCCAGTGCCTTCACTTCCACACCACCCGCTGGCCAGTATATCTCTTCTTTTAAGGGCATTAATCCCATCAGATTAGAGTTCTGCCTTGTGACCTCATTTAACTTTAATTGCTTCCTTAGAGACCCCTATCTCTAAATATAGTCATACTAGGTGTTAGGGTTTAAACATGTGAATTTGGGGGAGAGGGACATAAACATCCTGTCTATAACACTCATTATCTAGAAATAAAATAGGATTAGACAACTTTTAAAGGAAATTTGGGTTTTTCCTAGAGACATTGATAATTTCTGGGAGAGAGAGAAGGAGTAAATGTTAATTAACAAATGATAAAATGAGCAATTATGTGTTACCTTTGAAACTCTGATTAAAAACCATTTTGAGCATGCAGTGTGCTTTGTATGAACCATTTTGAACACACAATATACCTTGTTTTTGTTTTGCTCAGTGGAAGGAAGCGTAACCCTAAGTAGATTGACTGGATATTTGAGCCTTTGACCCCTTTGTAAAATAAGAACAAAGAATGTTTCCCTCTAATCATTCATTATTTATTTTGAACTCTTACAACAAATATTTATTTGGTACCTACATGTACTGGGTGTTCACTACTCTCAGGTCTTGTCTTCTAGGAGCTTACATTTTAGAGGACTGACAGGTACAGTCATTTAGTGGTTAAGAGCATGGATGCACTGAGGCTCAACTTCATAAACTGTATATTTGGATTATTAATATTACCCATTTTTGGGCTGACAGGTGGTATGGTGGTTAAGATGCTGGAATCCCACATGGCTGACCATGGTTCAAGTCCCAGACCGGGAGGTTTTCTTTCTCACTTTCTCTCTCTCTCTTGATCTCTCTCTGGTCAAATTAAGAGTAATCATAAATTGGGGTCAGCACATGGTGTGGTGGATGTGGCATGAACTCCCACATGGCCAACCACGGTTCAAATCCCAGATCTGATGGCTTGCTTTCTCACTTCTTTCTCTCTCTCTGTCTCTCTCTAGTGAGCATGTGTTCTCTGTCACAAATTAAATAATAATAATAATAATAATAATAATACATAAATGAGGTACCAGCATGTGGCATGGTGGTTAAGGTGCTGGACATTTCCATATAGCTGACCATGGTTCAGCTGACCTGGACCTAGTGACTTGCTTTCTCACTTTCCCTCTCTCTCTGTGTGTCTCTCTCTGGTAAAATTAAAATAAATGAATGAATAAATAAAATTAAAATAAATAATTCTTAAAAATAATAATCATAAATAAAATTAATAATTTTTGGAAAAAAATTGCCCATCTTAAGGTTGTTGTGAAAATGAAAAGAGAGAGAGAGAAAAAAAAACAATGTAGGTAAAAGATCCAGAATAGGCAACAGAATATTGACGAACAAAGTTGGAATGCTGACAATACCTGAGTTACTTTAAAGCTACATAATCAAGACAATGTGATATTGTGAAAGAATAGAGAAATAGAGAAATCAATGGAACAGATTATACAACCCCAAATGTATCTATTTACCTTAGTTGATGAGCTATGTAGAAAGGGATGAGATATGTGAGAAACCCAGAAGTAGACTTACATAAATATGTCAACTGATCTTTGACAAAGGGACAAAAAATACAGTGGAGAAAAGACAGTTTATGCAATTAATGGTGCTGGAACAATTGGATGTGACTCTAGACACAGACCTTAACACCCTTCACAAAAAATAACTTAGAACAGGTCACTTATCTGAATGTATAATGCAATACTATAATCTTCCTGTAAGATAATAAAGTAGAAAATTGAGAAGTTGGATTTGGTGATGTACATCAAAGACAATCTATGAAAGACAGAATTGATAAGATGGGTTAAATTGAAATAAAAATATCTGCTCCGTGAAAGGCATTATGAAGAGAATGAAAAAATAAGCCATCAACTAGGAGAAAATGTTGTAAGAGACATCTGATAAAGAACTGTTAAACAGAATATACAAAGAACTCTTAAATGCAACAATAAGAAAGCAAACAACCTAATTTAAAAAATGGATGAAAGACCTTAACAGGCACCTCACCAGAGAAGACATATAGATGGCAGATTGGGGACCAGCAGGTGGTGTGGTGGTTAAGGTACTAGACACTCCCATATGGCTGACCACGGTTCAAGTCCCAGACCTGGTGGCTTGCTTTCTCTCTCTTTTTCTCTCTCTCTCTCTCTCTGTGTGTCTCTTTCTGGTCAAATTAAAATAAATGAATGAATAAATAAAATTTTAAAAATAATTATTAAAAAAAGAAGATATATAGATGGCAGATAAACATATAAAATCATCAGAGAAATGCAAATTAACAGTGAGAAAGGCCCAAATCCAGAATACTAACAATACCATACTCTAGGGGCAATGTGGAGCAATGGGAACTCTCATTCATTGTTGGTGGGAATAGAAACTAGTACAGGCACTATAGAAGACAGTTTTTTTTTTTTTTTTTTTACAAAACTATATATATTCTTACCATGTGATCCATATGCTCTTTTGTATTTACGCAAATGAGGTGAACATTTTTGTTCATATAAAAACCTGGACATGGATATTTATAGCATCTTTATTCATAATTGCCCAAAATTTGTAAGTAACCAAGATGTTTTTCAGTAGGTGAGTGGATGAATAAACTATGGTACATCCAGACAATGGACTATTGTTCAGTGCTAAAAAGGAATGAGTTATCAAGCCACCAAAAGATGTGAAGGAAACTTAGCTGCGTATAACTAAGTGAAAGAAGACAATCAAAAAAGACTATTTATTGTAGTCTTTTTTTTTTTTAAGAGAGATTTTTTGCTATATGGTGTGTGCGCTCACCAAAGATACAGAGAGAGACAGAAAGACAGAAAGTGAAAAATTACCCACTAGGGGAGATGGCCACACCACAGACCCTTCTCCTCCATTCTCCTCTTGGAATTTTGGGCACATGTGCACATGTGCCCAACATGAGTTTTAAGCTGTTGAGTCTGGGACAACTCTGTGGGAATCTAGCAACATAACCATTATGCCATCATTGGTCCCTTCTTTTTTTTTTTTTTTTTCTGGAGGTTTTTGCCTTAGGGTGTGTGCCCTTGCTGGAGAGAGAGAGAGGCAGAGACAGAGACAGTGAGAGGGAAAGTGAGAAATCACCCTTCAGGTATGCTGGCCATGCTGCACTCACTTCTCCTCCATTCTCCTTCTGAGATCTTTGGCATGCATGCACATGTGCATAGTGTGAGTTTCAAGCCACCGGGTCCAGGACTGTAATTGTTGTCGGCCTTGTGGAAGTCTAGCAACGTAACTGCTATGCCATCTGCTGGCCCTGTATTATTTTTTATTGGAGCAAAAGCCTTTCTGCTCTCTGAAGGCTTGATAATCTGACAGTGGACAGACTGACAGGGAAAAAAACATTGTATTTACATGTATACATACAGAAGTTCCACAACATGTGAGACTCAAAGAATGAGTCAGATGATTGACCCTTACATAACATTCTGAGCTATAGAAGGGAATCAAATCTTTGGGCTTTTGATGGTGAGTCGGGGACAAGGTATAGGAGGACTGGGGGAGTAAATGCATGGTGAACGAAGGCTGTCCTGTTTTGCAGATAGTCTCTTAGGTAATAAAATTGTCTCACTATAGTTTTACAACATAATGCATGTATCCCTAAATGAAATGTTAATTTTGTATGTTTTTGAATTTTATGTAAGTGGCAAAATGCAAAATAAAATACAAGTTGTCTCAGAGCAGCCTTCAGAAGAATAGGTGTGTAAGCTGTGACAAAGTCCGTCTGGGTATGGTGCTAACCTTCAGTCTCCTCTGTGATCTGGTTACTCTCCCCTGGCTGATGAGATTCCAGAGGCGACTCATGACAATTGAGCTCTTTTTTGGAGGATCCATCTTTAGGCAAGTAAGGGAGGTTCAGAGAGAGCATTTCCGTATGATTCAGAGGAAAAAGAAGGGTGAAAGACAGGAGGGCAAGAGAAGGTCAGAGAGACTCATTTTGGAATCGGCAAAACTGTGGGGGAAGGGAGGGATGAACCAGTGGGACACAGAATTTTAGGGCAATGAAACTACTCTTTAGGATGTTGTAATGGTGAATACATGTCATCATGAATTTGTCCAAACCCTTAGAATATGCAACACTAAGAGTGAACCGTATGAGAAACTAGCAGACTTTAAGTGATAATGATATGTCAACGTAAACTCATCAGTTGTAACAAATGTACCTTCTGGTGGGGATATTAATAATAGGGAAGGCTATGTATGTGTGGGAGTAAGGGGTGCTATGGGCAATTTCTATAACTTCTGCTCAATTCTTTCTTCATGACCTTGTGTGCATGTGCACATGAGAGAGCGAGAGCGAGAGAGAGAGAGAAGGAGAGAGAAACAGGTCCACCCTCCACAGAGTCTGGTAACAATATGATTGTCTCCCTTCAGTCTTCCTGCTTGTAGAATCCTGTATGCCTGGAGTATTTCAGGACTGGACTGGGAATCTGAACTGCACTCACTATGTGGTTTCCAGCTTCTCTTGAGCAGTTCTTACCCTTGTGCCATGGACCCTGCCTCTCTTTCCATTCAATTTTGCTGCAAAACTAAAACTTCTTCAAAAAGCAAAATATATTTTAAAACTGTATGCAAAGGGCCTTGATCAGTGCTCAGCAGAGAGGAAGCAATAACTTAAACTACAATTACGTTTATTAATAATTTTGCATTAACAATAAGGCACATTAGAAATACTTAGCACAAGGTTAAGTTTTTAATGACTGCTTGTTAGTGAATTGTAGCTTTCTGCTGACTTTGAAGAAGACTTTATTTTATGGTTTTTACAGTGCCATCTCTTTGTTTGATATCTGGACCAAATACGCCCCCAGGCTGCCAGCTGATTATTACAACGAAAAGCTCCTGAAGGTTGGAGATAGCCTCTGTCAAATGAAAGTAAGTGCCTCTGAGATAAAGTGAGCTAAAATGAAACTTCTAACCATTATTATTATTCCTATTTCACATGTTTAGATAAAATTTTTAATGATCATAGGTACAAGAAAGTAATTGCATTTTACAGTTTTGTAGCTGAGATTCTCTAGAGGTGAGATTCCTGAGCTGACAGGCAGCTGGATGGGGAGGGGCAGGAGTACAGCTGGTTGTGGGGTGTGGTAGGCACACAACAGGAAATGCTGAGTCATCATGTTCCTACCTTATACAAAGGAGCCCAGACACCACTTCCTGTTGTTTTTCACATAGCTGGCCTTGCCCAGTAGACAGCCCTTATGGCTCCTTGCCTTGCTGCTGTGTGGCCTGCTTCCCAGTGCCCAGTTTTAAGGAGGACTCTCAGCTCCTCCTTTATATTTTGCTTCATGTGATTATAGCAGTCATTCCATATATGCCTTGTTTCTTAGTACTGTATCTAAACTGAGTTTGTACCGTTTTCAGTTCCATGTAATGCCTAGTTCTGTATAATGCTGTAGACTCATGGATTTGGTTTGGTAAGACCACACCATATCTGGGTGTTCAGTTAATGATAGCATGAGTTTTCTCTTTAAGCTCTGGTGTAAGTCCAAATAATTCTAAGCATATGAGTGTTGGACAAAGAATTATTTTATCCAAAAGGTTATTAGGTTAGACATGGGCAGCATTTGGTGTTTTCTTAATCTTTAGCTTTTCAGCTTTATAGTCCTCCTCCATATATATATGTATATATATATATATAGTTATTTAATTAGGTATTATGTTATTGGCAAAAAATTTAGAACACCAATTTGTGAGGATAAACTCCATTTGTAAGGGCAAACATGGATTGCACGTAGCCCCTGGAACAGCTTTGATTTCTGGTAAAATTTACCAGTCCACAGCTTTCTGATCAACCTTACACTGCTCTGAAATCTCGTATTTCTCCTTCTCTGTGTCGAAGATCTCACCTTCCTGGTGTTTTTAACATAACACAATATGAACATGTTCATTTCACTTAATATTCACTAAGATATGAGCTTTTAAAATTGAATAATAGGGACAGATGGTGACACATGGTAAAATGTGGTGCTTTGTGAAGCAGACCCACATGGGAAGGTTCCTGGTTCACATCTGCAGATCTCCCAGAGTATATATACTAAGCATGCATGTACTCATGATCTGAACCAGATACAGCGGGGGTTGTCAAAAAAGTGGTCCCAGGAGTGATGCTAACTCGCACCTCTCTCACATGCTGACTGAAGGGTTTCTACCGTGGCTCAACAGCTTTTGAGGCACATCTTCAGTAGGATAATACCTAGGCATTTTGTGCAGTTTAACCACCCGGGTACCACCATTCTTGTCTCTACCAACCGATTTTGTGACAGTCACAAGAACCTTCTCATTTTTCTTTTCGATCCTGAATTTAGTGGCTGAGTATTTCCTCTTGTACATGGCCTTTATGGAATTCATGGCAGACCGGGAGTATCTGCTGATGCCCCCGACTAGGACGGGGTTTCAGCTGCTATGGGGCTTCCCCTTCTTGGACTTTTTAGCCTTGGGGTCACCCTTTTTAACCTTGCCACTGGCATCAGCCTTCTTGGCTTCAGGTTTCTTCTCCTTAGTATCCTGCTTCAGTTTTTCACCTGCCATCTTGTATAATGGGAAAGAGCTCCTCCTCCATTTCTATTTTCTGGACTTTAGTTCTTTCGGTATGGGAGACGAATTTACTAAGCAGGGTATAGGATGTAAAGAAACCTTCATAATGAAGAACTAAGATCTATTTTCTTCTTCCAAAAGTAGAGATTAATCCCAGCCCCATGTAAGTGGATCATTGTTCTTAGAAACTTGAAAAATATAGGCTTTGGCAAGCAATAGAAAAAAAAAAAAAACGCACCCCCCCCCAAAAAAAAATCCCAGGTTGTAAACTATAGTCACACAAAGCAGAATAACAGTTTTTTTATTATTATTTGTTAAGAGAGTTTTTTTGCTATACGATGCATGAGCTTGCTGGAGAGACAGAGACAGAAAGCAAGAATTTACCCCCGGGGGGATGACCACACCACAATCCCTTCTCCTCCACTTCCTTCTTGGGATTTTGGGCATGCATGCACACACGCCTGGCATGAGTTTCAAGCTGCCAGGTCTGGGACTTGGACCATAGTTGGCCATGTGGGAAACCAGAGACATAACCATTATGCCATCTGCTGGTCTCAGACTAACAGTTTTGACAAGTAGAGGACAGCCCCTTCTCCATGTCTGTATTCCTTAGTACAAGGAGTTGGGAATACAAAGCACAGATTGGGGTTGTTTGAGGAGTAGCCAGGTGGGTGGAGTGGATATTGGTCGAGGGAAGAGGAAGAAACGTGATTGAAGCTGATGATGGGGCATAGCTAAGTATTTAGAATGTTTCAGACAGGGAGGTCTAGAAAAATTATTTAACAACTTAATTAAAAGAATAAAGGAAAAGTTTTTCTACGTTTCACTGATGGAAAAGTTAGTCACTGAAGGTATTTATAATTCTGTAAATGAACTTGAGTTTTTACTTTGTTTTTTAGATTCGCTTTGCTTTTATTTTGGTTATAGTAAAGATCATCTTGTGGAATACGCTTGCTTTGAACCTAGTTTCGAATTTATTATATGAATCAAGTTAGAACAGGAAAGATTTAGAATTAATCAGTGAGCCAATAACAAAGAAGTCAATAGAAATATAAACAAAACAGAAATTGACTGTGGATGCTTCCTAAGAGGCTAGATAACTGGACAAGGTAGTTCGCACTCAAGGCAGCTTCTTCTCTGGGAGACACATTGCAAGGGAGGAGGCCAAGAAAGGGGTGCAAATGACTTTATCCAGAGCATTATTCACAACCCTACCCCAAAATTCTATAGGTCAACTGTGCCTTGTGCATTAGAGATGAGGTATCTGATTCTGTAATGGGGAAATAAATAAGAATTTGAATCAGTAAGACTCTCATGGCTCAGATTTGTAAAATTTGTCCTAATGCACCTTCAGAAACTGGTGATAGACAAAAGAGTGAGGGAGTGCCACCTTGCTTACCATCTGCGTTTTTTCTTTTTCTTTTCTTTCTTCCATTTATTCTCTCTCTTTTCTTTTTGTTTTCTTCCTTTTCTTTCTTTCTTTCTTTCTCTTTTTCTTCTTTCTTCCTCTCTTTCTTTTGGTTTTCTTTTTCTTTTTCTTTCTTTCTTTCTTTTTTTTTTTTTTTGCCTAGGAGGTATAAAAAAGGCAAGGCTACTCATCTCCTTCTATGATCAAGTGTGTGGGTTACCATGATCTGGTGATGCTGAACATTCGGGTTTGAGTTTTAAGTATATTTAGGTATTACCACACACAGCACAATAGTGAAATATTCTCATCTTTGCCATAGAATGGTTCTTCCTCACAGTAGGCTTGTTGGAAGAGAATGACATAAAAGACTATTGTAAATTGCACAGCCTGGTGTCTGTCATATAACGTGTTTAGAAAATGGTGGTGGTAGTAATTGGCATAGTAGCAGTAATAATCGATATTGGTACTATTAAGAATAATATGAAAATTACTTGAGTTTAATACCATTAGGCAAAATGATAATTGAAACTTTAATCAAGTCCTTTTTTTCTTTCAGGAGTACAAATTGGCCCTTCTACAGTGCTATGGAAGATATCTTCAACAGTTCAGTACTGATTTTGATGAGAATAAAGCAGATGTGAATCAGTTCAAAACTGTCTTTTTCCCAAAAGGCTTTGGAGATAAAACTGCTGGACTTACAGTAAGATGAAAGAAGCAGCTAAAATAAGCTACAATTTATGATTAGCTATGCAATGTGTCTTTTAGTTGACAGCTTCTAAATGTCTTTTATTTGATTACCATAGCATCTGCCCATGTGCTATGATTTGTTTAATAAATACTTCGGTACTGGGTAAGAATGTGAACTTGGCTCAGCTGTGGTCAAGCAAGGCTGAGGCCACAGGAGAGGCTTACATCTGGCTCCTGGACCAACCTAGAGAGCCTGTTAATTGCTACCGTTGATTCATTGGTTGAGCAGTTACTGTGTGCTAGGTACTGTATAAATACGTTATACAAATGATCATTTTGCCTCCTCATGTAGGCCTAGAAAGTGGGTACTATTATGCCTCTCTTACAGATGATAACTGAGGGTTATTAGAGATTAAGAAATGAGCCCACTTAAAGCAATTGGCAGGATTGATGTTTGAACCCTGGTCAATTTGCTGCCAAATCTATGTTATCACAAACTCGATGACTATTCAAGGCCTTGGAAACAGCATGTGGTGAATAAACAGAAAATCTCAAGGACTGTTCGGGGACTATTGAACAGTTCAATTTAGTTGTGCCGTAGGTGCATGAATAAAAATACCAGGCCATGCAGGTGGGTCCCCCGTTGGGAAGAGTACTGAATGAAAAGGTCTCTCCTAGCCTCACAGTTTGTAGCACAGACCTGTACTCCTGCTTTTCATTTTCCACACCTTGTCAGAATTAATTCCTAAAGTGTAAATCAAATCATTGTACTCCATTGCCCTTTGACTCTGCCTTTTGGCTGAGATCCAAATTCCTTGGAATGACATGGAACACTCTCCATGTTCTGGCTCTGGGCTATTCCTATAGCTCCATCTCTTTATTTTAAACCTTTTTATCCACACTTACAAAAGACTTTCAGTTCAGTGATCACAGCAGCCACCTTAAGCATCCTTAATGCTGCACATGCCCGGAATGCTTTTCCTTCTGCCAAGAGCAGGGGCCATTTCTTCTTCATCTTAGAGTCTCTGGCCTAGCAAAGTGTGCAAATAGAGGTGCTTAATAAACATTGGCTGCATAAATTGTGTAGATTGTAGTAATTACATCTGAATTAATAAATAGGTTAAAATGCCACTGGATGAGTTCACAAAATGATTCAATTCTATATTTTTGGTATTGGAATTGTTGTATTTTTTTTTGTTTTTGTTTCTGAATTTCTTTTCCCTAAGGAAAGCTAATCTTAACTAAATGTATTTTATCACATTTCTTTCTATACTAATGTATTACCTTGATTACACTTAATTGTTTTCATTTTCAAAATATTTAAAAAATGTTTAGCTATTTATTTCTTTCACGAGTAATGGAAAGAGAGGGGAATGGCATCCCCAACAGATCTCAATGCCATGATCCACCCCCAGCCTTTAGCCAGCCCTGGATCAGGGCAGTTGTGTGTGCCTTGCATACTCAGGTCTCCGGACTTGAACTGGACTCTCCCCATACGGGATTGCTTTGCAGAGTGATGTATTTTCCTGCTGCACTGCCATATAGTACCTTGTTTTTACATTTTGATAAATGCTTTAAGTTGCACAAATCTTACCCATATTCACATTTATATTTTCCCATGTGTTTCAGTTTCATGCTTTAAGTGGCAGGAATATGTGCAACTACCAGCTGGTCTGTGATAGTGATGTAAACCTGAAGAATAAAGAGTCTGTGACCCAGTGCCTGCATATCCTGTCCTCCTTAAGACTCATCATGCAGGTGGCTCTGCCACAGGAGCATCTTTGCTGGATTATCTTCAATGGTATATACCAACTTAACAATTATTTATTTTATTTATTATTATTATTATTTTTGGAGAGGTTTTTGCTATAGGGCACGTGTGCTTGCCACAAAGAGAGACAGAGAGACAGAAAGCGAGAAATCACCCCTGAGCGGGGGATGGCCACACTGAAATCCCTTCTCCATTCTCCTCTTGGGATCCTGGGCACGCATGCACACATGCCGACATGAGTTTAAGCCACCAGGTCTGGGACTTGAACCGTGGTCGACTACGTGGGACTCCAGCAACATAGCCATTATGCCAACTGCTGGTCCCAATTTTATTAATTATTATTATTGTTGGGACCAGCAGTTAGCATAGTGGCTATGTTGCTGGATTTTCATGTAGTCGACCGCAGTTTGAGTCCTGGACCTGGTGGCTTAAAAACTCATGCCAGGCGCATGTGCGTGCGTGCCCAAGATCCCAAGAGGAGAATGGAGGAGAAGGGACTGCGGTGTGGCCATCCCCCCTGCGGGGTGATTTCTCGCTTTCTATCTCTTTGTCTCTCTCTGTCTTTCTGGTGAGCGCACACGCCCTAAAGCATAAACCTCTCCAAAAAAAAGACAAAAAAATTATTATTATTATTGTTATTAAGTTTGCTATAGGGCACAGGCACTCACCAGAGAGACGCAGGGAGAGAGAGAGAAAATGAGATAGATAGAGAGAGAGAAAGCCACCAGGTCCAAGACTTGCACTGCAGTCGGCCATGTGGGAGTCCAGCACCCGTCATGCCTCCTGCAATGTATTTTATCTTCCACTGTGACTTTCAGAGAGTTATTTAAATACCACATTTGATGGTAACTTGATTACCTGGTGATTTAGAACACATGCAATGCATCGAAGGATGATTATGAGTTTGTTAACATTTGTATTATAATGTAGCTTGTTCTTTAAGTAGGGACATGTAAAGCATGTTTTGGGTTTTCCACTGAAGGAAAGGTCAGAGGCTGTGGAGGTAATCAGCTGTAGGTGTATACAAAACATAAGCTATAGCTAATAAGTGGAGAAATACAAAATAGGAAAGGGAAGGATCATAGGACCACTGCAGGTTAGATTGGTTCTAAGCATCATCCATTTATTGGTCCTCTTTTCAAAGATCTTTGGCTTCCTGGATAACAACCTTCCCCTCCTACCTAATTTTGGGTTGGGAGTTCTGAGAATATATGGTGTATGCACACACACACACACACGTACATTATATGCATATGTCTAAAGAAATGAATCTTAGCTATAAAAATGTAACACTTATTTTTCTCTATTTAAAAATGACAATGATTAGTTTACTATACTTTGTGGGTTGTATTTCCTTAAATGAAATATAATAATGACAAGGTGTTTTATATACATATATAAAACCAGGACAAAATAACTTCATCGAAAATATATTGAACATTCTCTCTTCCATGGCAACCAAAAGTACATTTTTTAGCCTTCTTCACCCACCCCAAATCATATTTTGAGAAATACAAAATCTGAAGGGGAAGGATCATACCTTTTATAAAAGGTATTTTTTTAATTTAATTCTATTTGTTGTTATTATTTATTTTTTAATTTGACCAAGGAGATAGAGAGAAAGAGAAGGGGAAAAAGAGAAAGCAAGCTGCCAGGTCCAGGACTCGAACCACAGTCAGCCATGTGGGAGTCTGGTACCTTAACCACCATGTCACCAGCTGACCCCTATAAAAGGTATTTTAAAATAGTTATTTTGGGAGGAAACAGATGGACACAGCACCTCCAACAGGATCCTGATGCCATGATCTACTGCCAGCTTCAGCCAGTCTCACATCATGGGCACATGTGTGACCAGTGTACTTGGGGAGGTCTCTGGACATGAACTGGTAAACTTCTCATGTGGGTCTGCCTTACAGAGCGTTGTATTCCACCACTGTGCCACTGTCTGGCCCCATGTTTTGATAGTTTGATTGAAATCAGACTTTACATTTGCTGCCAGAGATGAGGCTGACTTTGATGAGAGATTTCAGTCCAGTGATTGTTAATCTTTTGTTCCTGATCATCCTCAAGGATTCAAGATTCTCTGAGTTCCACTGCCATCTTTCCACCTGAGTTACTCACATATCTTAGCAGGGCTGGACAGGCCGGGAGGAATGGTTTTGTGTTGTATTCAGGCCTTGCTTGAGAGATGGAAATGATGCAGCATGATATCCTGTCTTAAACTCTTTTAAGATCACATACACAAAGACACACACACACATACACACACATACACACACACACACACACACACACAGACAAACCACTAATATTCTTTATTAAAAAAAGATTTTAAAAATTCTATATCTACTATACATTTTCTTGGTGTGTGCTTTTTATTTATACATGTGGTATTATTTTTTCTAGGTTTTATTTTGTTTCCTGAATTTTTTTTTTCTACTTTATGCTATGGCATTGGACTCTAGCCAGGTTCCTCTACGTAAATCTCCTTTGTTAACTCTACCTGCTGACTTGCAGTTCAGACATCCATATGCCACTTGAGACAGGCACCAGGCTTGCTGAATTACTCTGTAACAAGTAATTCTCCAACAATTTTCTTGCACATGTCCTTCCATAGACCTGATGCCCAGGAGTGGGCTTGCTGGGTTTTGGAAGATGCAGTTAGGTTTACTAACTGCTGTCCTTGTTTTAGTGTATTTGTCTAAAACTTACTGAGAGCCAGGGGCATTGTTCCAGGTGCTAGGGACACAGGAGTGTATGATGGACAAATACCCAGTTCTCATGCTTGCTTCCACTGTAGAGAGATAAAAAGAAATGAAAACTAAGTGTCAGATGGTGGTGAGTGTTACGGAGAAGAGAAAGGTGGCTTCGGGATAAAGGAGAATAACGGCTGGACAGGGTTGTAATTTTAAATGGAACTGTCAGGAAAGGCCTCACTGAAATGACAGTTGAGTAAAGACCTGAAGGAATTTGGAGAGTGAACCCTCTGGATATGGGGGAAGGATATCCATCTGGAAGATTAGCAAGTGCCTGCACCCTGAAGTTTTAGCAATTTGGAATCCAAATATTCAAAAAATACATTTAACTGATAAGTTATCAAAATATATTTAGTCTTTTCAGTCAGACAACTTACTTTTATTAAAAAAAAAGAATTATTGATTTAATTTGGGACCAGCAATTAGCGTAATGGCTATGTCGCTGAATTCCCATGTAGTGGACTGTGGTTTGAGTCCTGGACCCAGTGGCTTAAACTCACGCTGAATGCATGTGTGTGCGTGCCCAAGATCCCAAGAGGAGAAAGGAGAAGGGATTGCGGTGTGGCCATCCCCCTTGGGGGTGATTTCTCGCTTTCTGTCTCTCTGTCTCTCTCTGTCTTTCCGGCGAGTGCATGTGCCCTATAGCAAAAACCTCTCAAACAAACAAAAGAGAATTATTGATTTAATTTTATTTATTATTATTATTTGATTTGACTAGAGAGGCAGAGAGAGAGGGTGGAGAAAGTGAGAAAGCAAGCAAACAAGCTGCAGGACTCAAATCATGGTCAGCTATGTGGGAATCCAGCACCTTAACCACCCTGCCATCTTGTGGTCCTTTAACGGACTATTATACATATCTACCCTTGATTTCTTAAGATATTTAATCAATCTTTATTCTTTTACAAAATATAACTGCATGAGGCCAGCCAGTGACATGGAGGTTAAGGCAGCTGAATCCCACATGGTTGACAGTGTGGTTTGAGTCCTGGATCTAGTGGCTTGAAAAACACGTGAGGTGTGTGTGTATGCATGCCCCAAATCCTTAGAGTGCAGAATGGAGAAGAGGGGATGGTGGCGTGGTCATCCCCCTGAGGGTGTGCTTTCTCACTCTCCTTTTCTCTTGTTCTCTGTCTCTCTGGTGAACGCACATGTCCTATAGCATATTAATAAAATAAAATGATTAATTAAAAAAACCTAATGACTGTAGGAATATGGGATAATACCTTCTCAACCAATCTAAGCCCAACTAACTAATTTAGATGCTCACATTATTTTGATAGTGGCCGTGTTTGCTGAAAAGGAGTCATGTGATAAGACAGTAAATGCATATTGGGGATTTGGTTAAAAACAAAATGTTGAGGGTTAGGGGGTAGACAGTAGCACAGTGGTTAAAATGGGGTTTGGTTAAAAACAAAACAGGGGACCAGACAGTGGCATGGTGATAAAATGCAATACTCTGCAAGACAGACACACGCTGAAAGGTTGCAAATCAGGAGACATTTCTGAGCTCACTGGGCACACACAAGCCCATGATTCAGGCTGGCTGAAGCAGGAAGTGTAATTCAGGCACTGAGGCCCTATTGGGGGTGCTGATGTATCTCTGTATTCTGTCTCTTTCCTCATGTAATCAACTTTATATCTATTTTTTTTTTGAGAGGTTTTTGCCATAGGGCGTGTGTGCTCACCAGAAAGACAGAGAGAGACAGAGAGACAGAAAGTGAAAAATCACCCCCCCAGGGGAGATGGCCATGCCGCAATCCCTTCTCCTCCATTCTCCTCTTGGGATCTTGGGCACGCACGCACACGTGCCCGGCGTGAGTTTAAGCCACTGGGTTCGGGACTCGAACCACGTTTGACTACGTGGAAGTCCAGCGACATAGCCATTATGCTAACTGCCGGCCCCATAAACTTTATATGTATTTTTAAAGTTGCTAAAGGGCACCAGAGAGACAGAGACAGAGAGTGAGAAAGCACTCCCTCCCCCAGGGGGCATGGTCATGCTGCAATCTCTTCTCTTTCATTTCTCGCTCCTGTCCGGATTTCTGGCATACATACACGTGCATTTGACATGCTTTTCTTTTTTCTTTTTTTTTTTGTTTTTGGAGAGGTTTTTGCTATAGGGCGCGTGCGCTCGCCAGACAGAGAGAGAGAGACATAGAGACAGAAAGCGAGAAATCACCCCCCAGAGGGGATGGTCACGCCGCAATCCCTTCTCCTCCATTCTCCTCTTGGGATCTTGGGCACGCACGCACATGCGCCCGGCCTGAGTTTTAAGCCACCGGGTCCGGGACGTGAACCTCGGTTGACTACGTGGGAGTCCAGCGACATAGCCATTACGCTAACTGCTGGTTCCCTCGACATGCTTTTCAAGCCACCGGATCCAGGACTCAAACTGCACAGTCAGCTTTGTGGGGACCTAGCTTCCTTGGGCACCGCACCACCAGCTGGTCCCAGAATAAATAAGCTTTAAACAAAACAAAGCAAACAAACTTCCAGGGATCTCCTAAGATCATAATGATTCAGTCTGTGCTCCATTTATACACGTACACTCCCTGTCTGGCTTCTGCGGTGGGAATTTGTGAGCCATGCCAACACCCTGAACTATCAGAAAGGGATTCAGTTATACTCAGGATGTTTTGGGACTGAAAGGGTTAAAGGCACTTTTTTGAAATAAAGAGGGCTTTTGTCGTTCTTGTGGGCAGTCTCCTGAGGCCTTCTTAAGTTCCTCAGTTCCCGTGACTGACGTGTTTACACAGGCTTCTGGCTTACACCTGAATCACATGTATTGTGGAGAGGCATGTGTTTCCTGTGCATATCCTACTTGGCGACTTTTTTTCTTTTCCCTCTACAAAGAAACACAGTTATACTATTTTCTTTTTAAAGGTTAAGAGTAGAGGGCAGCAGAGCCAAGAGACGAGATACTTATGCTGGCTTTGAGCTGTTACTAACAGCGGAGTTCTTCCTCAGTGGCTCCTAAGTACAAAAAGTAATGGCATGTCACGGGGACAATCACACTAGATTGCTGTGTCCTTGACTAGTAAGGACCAATTGCCTTCTCTACAAACTTTATGGTGCTATAAGTGTTTAAGGTTTTATTCAATATATATATTTTTCACTGATTTGTGTAATTAATGTTTATTATGCTTACAGGTGTGTTTTAATCAAGTGAGATGTTTTGGAAGCAGATGCTGTTTGTTAGAAGCTTTTAAAGTTTAAACATGAATATTGGATTTCTAATTGTTGAATTTCGATGGTTTTGAATTTTAGATCAGATGTTTTGTAGAAAATATTTAGACTACCTGTCATTATAATTACATGCCTTTTAAAAGCATATGACCATCTTTTGGGTATGTTTCTAGCATGATAATATTCTTTATATACAGAGAGATATATGATGCCGTTTCCCACCTGTCTCTCCAAACCTGCCACCAGCCTTCTAGCCTCACATAATTAATGGTGTGACACCAAATTGTACTTGAATGATCTTATGCAGATGTTGGAAAGCTGTTTTTCATTGGAGTGATTTTAGGGCCTACTTTAATAATGGGATAAATATTACATGAGATTGCAAGTGAATATAATGCGACTTGTCATGCATTATGATTTTTAAATTATTAGGACTCCACGCTGAGTCTCGTGCCAGGCTGTTTAAATATGTATTCTAATCTTATCTGGAGATAAATCTTTAGTTTTTCAACCCTTAGGAAACCATGGGAACCGATAACATTTTACATGAATTAATAAAACCACAGGGTATTAAAGTATGCCAGTAAAAAATCTTCTGTTCAGTATATTTCAGAAGTTAAATTGTCTTTAAAATGAAGCTAAAGGATTCCTGTGTCAACGTATTTAAAATATGGTCATGTTAGTTATTTTAATGGTTTTTGTCTGTGAGTTATCCGAAAGATTATGATGATTATGACTCTCTGCCATCATCAGACTTTCTCATGAGACCACTTGTTTTGGGAAGTAATGACTTATGCCATAGTAACTGGGATATAAAATTTACAACCTTTGACTGTAAAACATGTTAATAATCTTTTTCTTCATCTAGGTACTATTTACATTTACACGATTTGCAGAAAATTGATGATCATAGGTCAATCTTCCAAGGTATGAAATGTATTGACAAAATATTTTTTCTTATTTTTTTTCTGAAGGCTTCTATTACACAGTACATTGAATACTAATCCAAGGATACCTAGCAAATTATGTAACAAAATTTAGTGAATATATATGATTTTACTGTTTTAGTTTCACCTTAATAATAGTTGCATGGGGCCAGCAGGTGGTGTGGTTATTAAAGTGGCTGGATTTCCCCATGGCTGACTATAGTTCGAGTCCCAGATCCAGTGGCTTGAAAATCTTGCTGGGAATATGCCCAGAATCCTGAGAGGAGCATGGAGGAAAAGGGAATGTGGGATCTCTCTGTCTCTTTCCTCTCTGGAGAGCTCATGTACCCTATGACAAAAACATAAAAAAAGAAAAGTCACATGTAAAAATGTGGACAATAAAGTTGTGTTTTTTTTTTTTTTAAGAGAGAGAGATTTTTGCTTTAGGCCCTGTGCATTTACCAGAGAGAGAGAGAGAGAGAGACAGAGAGAGAGAGAGAGACAAAGAGAGAGAGAGACAGAGAGACAGAGAGACAGAAAGCAAGAATTCACTCCCTGGGGGCATGGCCATGCAACAATCCCTTCTCCTCCTCTTCCCCTTTCCTCTTGGGATTTTGGTCGGGCATGCATGCACACACACCCAGCGTGAGTTTTAAGTCACCGGGCCCAGGACTCAAACCACAGTCAACTATGCGGGAGTACAACAATGTAACCATTGCGCCATCTGGTGGTCCTGATAGTAAAGTATTAATGAATAGAATTCCTGAAATAGATGTTCTCCAGTTGTCCTCTGTGTCTCAGGTCATAATACTTGTCATATTTGATACTGAACATCCATCTCGTTACTACATCTCTAAATAGGGTGACCATCCGTCCTGGTTTTGCTCACGACTGTGTTGGCTTATGCCTATCATTCTGGGGTAATTATTAAATGTGCCCCTTTTCACTCTTAAAACTGTCCTGCTCTAGAAGATAAACTGTGTTTACCCTCTTTATTTCATGCAGTGAAGTCGGATTTCATTCTACATGAAGTTCTTGCATATATTCATCCACATACTTGTTGGCTGAATGAACACCTAATCTCTAACCTACTTACAAGCCAAGGACAAGGAGACTTTCTTTTATGTGATTCTCACTTACCGCACTCACTGCTCCACTTTAGCTTGAAGAAGTTGCTGACACTTCTGTTGACTTCCCTGCAATGTTGGTAGCACTTTTGTCTGCAGGAGGCATATTTATCCCTTCTATTCATTTTCCCACCATTGGAATGTAGGCCAAGTATGGCAAGTCTACTCCCCTTGAGACCATGCTGGAGTTGTTGCTGGCTTCTGAAACATTGCTACTTTATTTTTATTTATTTCATGCAAAATCTTACCCTGAATATTCCAATTCTCTGGAGAGAATTTTTTTTTTTTGAGTGAGATTTTTGCTATAGGGTACATGTGCTCGCTGGAGTGAGAGAGACGGACAGACAGACAGAAAGTGAGAAATCACCTTCCAGAGGGGATGGCCACGGCGCAATTCCTTCTTCATTCTCCTCTTGGGATTTTGGGCTCTTGCATGCACATACACACACACACACACACACACACACACACACACACACGAGTCTGGCATGAGTTTTCAGCCGCCGGGTCAGGGACTTGAACCACAGTCAGTTCTGTGGGAGTCCAGTGATGTAACCATTATGCCATCTGATAGTCCTAAGAATTTTTTTTTTTTTTTAATATCTTCACAAGGTAGTAAAGTATCTTAAAAGTTGACACTTAAGGGACCAGCAGATGACATAATGGTTATGTCACTGGGCTTCCATGTAGTCGACCACAATTTGAGTTCTAGACCCAGGGGCTTAAACTCACTCCAGGCACGTGTGTGTGCATGCCCAAGCTCTCAACAGAATAGAGGAGAAGGGATTGAGATGTGGCCATCTCCCCTGGGGGGTGATTTCTAGCTTTCCGTCTCTCTGTTTTTTATTGTCTTTCTAGCAAGTCCACATACTCTATAGCAAAAATCTCTCTCTAAAAAAATTTGTTTTTGACACTTAAAAGAGAAAAATAAAAGCAAAGCTATTTGCATGCTCAATGGCTATAACATTAATTGGATATTTTCTTTCTGTTTTGTCCTTCAAATTAAAAAGCTCTATTACTGATAGTCACTTGAAAATTCCATGCCAGCTTTTTGAATTTGAATTAAATTGAGGGGAGACTGTCCCATGCATAATGCAAATTTGGCCTGAAGACTGTCCAATGATTCTACATTCATTTCCAGATGACTTCCTGAAAAGAATTTGCATCCTCCTGTTAACATTTGCTCTCCCAACAACTACTGCCTCACAGACCCATCATAGTTTGGTCTGCCTCAGTGTTTGCCAGCCAGAGTCCTGAAGGGCAGGGCTGTTTGTGCCAGGGCTGTTTGGCTGTTAGGGTCTGTGCTTGTTAATACTGGAACGTTTTAATTTCATGTGATAGTCATCTTAAAATAATTTGTTATTTATAACCAAGTAAAACATCTCTTTTACCCCCTCACGTAATTTGAGTTTGACTCACAAAATGAGAAGCAAAGGATGGTAGTTCTGTGGCCCCAGTTTTGAGAGATGCAAGTGAGGGTAGTTTGGGACGCAAGAATTTTGGGGTGATGGATGGTTGTGCAGTTGGCACCTAAAGATCCAGAAGAAATTCACTCTCATTTAATTTGTTTTGGGCCAGCAGGTGGTGTAGTGGTTAAGGCACTGGACTCCCACATGGCTGACTGTGATCCAAGTCCTGGACCTGGCGGCTTGAAAATCACACTGGGCGTGTGTGGGTGTGTGCCCAAAATCTCAGGAAGGGAATGAAGTGATTGTGGCGTAGCCATTCCCCTTGGGGGATGATTTCTCACTTTCCTTCTCACTGTTTTGTATCTCTGGTGAGTGCAGTGTCCTATGGCAAAAACCTTAAGAGGAAAAAAAAAATGCTGTCAGGCGTGTGCGCTCTTCAGAGAGAGGGGAAGTGAGAAGGCACATCTCAGGGGAATGGCCATGCTGCAATACCTTCTCCATTCTCCTCTTGGGATTTTGCCCAGTATGCACTTTCACCAGCATGTTTTTCACTGAGTCCAAGACTCGAACTGTGCAGTGGGCCACCTTGACCACCATGTACCTGGTTGGCCTAGGATGAAATTCCTTAAATTTGCTCAATATACTAAGTTTCAAGGAAATTAATAATCCTCACCCAGAAATTCTCAATCCCCTAGGCTAATGAATTGATTCTTGAGCCGAAGCTATAAACGGTCTTATTAAGGGTCCATTTAATGGAGAAAAGCTCTTAGAGGTCCCACCACATCTGAGTTCTCCTGGGTCTGAGGGACCCCAAGTCTGGATCTGCTTTAGCATTCAAGTCTGTTAAACATAGACGGAAGTTGATACGGGATCCTCAGGCTGTTCTTGGTGTCACTCTAGAGCAATCAAAACTCCCATGTATGTAGGCCGATACATTATGGCTATACTTCATTATTATTATTAAATGCCTACTACATACTATCTCATAAATGTTAAGTCCCAGGCTTGAAAGTGCTTCTGTGTCATTTCCTCACATGATGCTATGAGCTGGTGTACGTGAAGCTGGAGTGCCACCCTGTGGCTGAGCCGAGTAATTGTGCATGTTTTTCCTACTTGATGCCTGATAGCTGCTTTGCTGGGCCAGTAACTGGGATATGGATATAATTTAATTTTTCAACATTTCTCTGTGTTTGCTTTTTACTTATTTTTTTTTCTATGAAGAGAATAGTCCTGCTGTATCCTACCCATGAATTATTTTTAGTTAATAGAAACAATTATTTAATGATTTCTAGTTTTATTAATAGGAGTTAAAAATAATGTTATGAAGTCTTTTTTTTTTTTTGAAATGACTTTGTATCTTTAAACTTGAAAGATACTTTTTCAGAATTCTAAGTGCTTTTGGCGAACTTCTCCCTTAGTCAAGGCTACTCTGTGTAGTAGGAAAAACACTGCACTTGGAAGGCAGAAGACCTGAATCCCAGCCCCAGTTCTATCTCCTAGAAGCAGTTTAGCCTTTTGGAATTAGGGTCCGTTATAGTGCAGAAATCTGTGATTTTCTTTAATGATAACTTTAAAACCCAATCCTAAATATAATGTGAACAACTGTTAACTGGGTGGAGCTATTTTTATTTTGAAATGTGGCGTTTCCAATACCAAGAGTCTTGAGGGATTTTGGAAAGACATGAACTTACAGGGAAATTGAAACTTGGCTTAATTGCATATCCCCAAATCTCAACAATCCAAATGCAAAAATGCAAAATAATTAGGGGTTCTTAGGGAGCACAGAGAAAAACTTGAGATTTTGTTTTTGTCTTTTTAAAAATGTTATTTCATTTCTTTCTTTCTTTCATGAGAGAGAGAGAGAGAGAGAGAGATGAGAGACACGCATCTCCAACAGGATCACACCACACTGCAGTCTCCCTGCCCCAGGCTTCTACCCAGCTAGGATCATGGACAGACCTGGTGCATTTAGGTCAATCCTTGCTCTGTACCTGGAGCCTTCCCATCTGGCTCTAGCATCACCCTGCTGGGACTCACCCCCTATGTCACTGAGGCCAGGCCAGGAGTTTTCGATGACTGTTCATTTAATATCAGTTCACAGTGTGGCAGGGGTAGCAAACAACAACGAGAGCGCAAATAGCAATTAAGTGATCTCAGGCTGACTTAGTAGAAGTGTAGTGTCCAGGACCAGGGACAGAGTTTTCACTGCACTGTGGTCTAGTCACACACTCTGAAGGGACATCGGCAACTTGAAGCAAAGTGGCACTAGCCCAACCACGGTGGAGAAGGGAAGTTCGGTTCCATGAGGTGTGGAAGCACAAGGGTTATTTACCCTAGAGAGACTTTGGGGAAAAGGCAGGCCGTGTAGGTGTTTTCAGATTCTTGGAGGGCTGTAATTTGGAGGTGAGTTTTGCACTGTTTTGTGCTATTCTGGAAAGCGTGGCTAGGACCAATGCACTGGAAGAATACAAAGGATCTTAAAAAATCCGTGGAAAATAACCATGACCTAATTATGCCTGCATTTTAATTTTGTTTCATCAAAATAAACTCAGGCTTTAATTCCATTCTTCTGTGAACTTGTTGACGTCCTCTCATATTAAAGTGAATTTATTTCTGACTAAGAAAGTATTTTTCATGTTTAAAATCGTCTTCCACGGCCACATGCTGTATTCCTTATAGTGGAGTCAGAAATCCTTGGGGAGGGTTGCTGTGGAGCACCCAGTAATGGTGCTGAGTAATGTTGGTGGGGATATCATTTAGATTGACTTATAGCTCCTTGATTCTATGATCACTTGAAATATTTCCATATTTAGTACCATGAACTGAAACTTTTTTTTTTTAGTTTTGCTACAGGGTACATGTTACCAGAGAGAGAGAGAAGGAAAGTGAGAACTCCCCCCCACCCCACCCCCACACACACAAGGGGGCTGGCCACACTGCAGTCTCTTCTCCTTCAGTCTCCTCTTGGGTTTTGGTACACATGCACATGTGCCTGGTGGGATTTCAAGTTGCCAGGTCTGCGACTTGAACTGTGCAGTTGGCCATGTGGGATACAGCACTTTAACCTCCATGCCACTTGCTGGCTCCATGAACCGAAACTTTATAATGAAGGTCAGTCAGCAAATATTTACTGCATGTCTACTCCATGCCAGATGAAGTTCTAGGTGTTGGGGATGCCATGGTGAATGGACAGATGCGGTTCCTTTCCTAAGTGAACTCACATTCTAATGGAATGAACTTATGTTCCAGTGTATAGCAAACGATATTATGATTCTGTGTCAAACCTTGATCTATTTTCAATAGTGTTTTTTTCTCTGAATCAAAACTGTTAAGAGGGCAGAGAATTTGAGCCTTTCAGGCTTCTCCTTTCTCTTAGTTTCCACTGACCTTTGTACACACAGTCTTCAAAAACGCCAAAGTTTTAATAGATTTGAATGTTATCAGGGTTTTACCTTTTTTTCCTGTCCAATGCTATGTCAGTCTGATTTACTTTCTATATATGAAGCGCCCAGACTGCTTTGATGGTTTGTCATTTCAAGGTGGATGTGACTACTACAGATCTATTTCTTCTTAATTGAGTTTTCAATTGTTGAAGGCTTAATTTGTTATTGGAAGAAGGGCTTTATTCTATTGTCCACATTTCCTGTCATTGTTTGAGAACCTGCCAACTCTGCTGTGGTTGCTTCTGCTGACTATGGTTGTGTGTGGAATTCATTTCGTCTTGCTTGGGAATATCTGCCATGTACCTGGCACTGTTCTAGGTGCTAGTGAAACAAAAATAAATAAGGCCTTGTTCCAGTCTTCAACGAGTTTTAGGATCATACTTGTGAGTATATGAATACAGTAGTATGTGACATGTGGCATGTATAAATACAAAAATATATGCGAATAATATATACACATCACACAATGACAGTAGAGATGGAAATGAGGCAATATCCAAAGACAGGACCTCATTAGGTCTTGTCTCTCTAGGAGCATTGGAAAAGTCTTCTTCAGGGACTAGCAGTTAGCATAATGGCTATGTCGATGGACTCCCATGTAGTTGACCGTGATTTGAGTCCCGGACTCAGTGGTTTAAACTCACACCGGATGCGTGTGCGTGCGTGCCCAAGATCCCGAGAGGAGAATGGAGGAGAAGGAATTGAGGTGTGGCCATCCCCCCTGGGGAGTGATTTCTTGCTTTCTGTCTCTCTCTGTCTTTCTGGTGAGCGCATGCGCCCTATAGCAAAAACCTCTTAAAAAAAAAAATCTTCTTCAACAACTAATTCTGTTTCTTCTTTCTGTTCCTCATCCTCTCCCTGTTCCTCCACCTCTTCCTGCTTCTCCCTCCTCCTCTTTTTCCTTCATTGTCATCACCAGGGCTAAGATGTATATGTGCTTGCTATGTGTCAGTCTTAACATGTATTAACTCTTAATCGTGAAACAATCCTGTAAGGTAGGTGCTGTTACCTACGTTTGGCAGCTGGAGAACTCGAGGCACATGGAGTTTAATTGTCGAAGCAAACACTGCTAGTAGTGGAGGCAGTGTTTCAGCCTAGAAGGGCGGTGAAGGAGAGAGCTTTCTGAGTAAAGACAGCACAGTGAGCAAAGATACATGTATTTGGACCAGTAAGATGTTTTGTGGAATGGAAAGCTTTTTGGACCATATTTAAGCACATAAGGGAACTTTAGAAAGTCCGTGGAGAAATGGAATTAAAGTATGAGTGTATTTTGGCACAAAAAAATTGAAAGCCAGCATAGCTTTTTTTTTTTTTTTTTTTTTTTTGAGAGATTTTCGTTATA